TCAGCTATATGCAACTGTCTCCCTAATCCTTATCTACAACCCTGTCCAGAACTCCAAGCCCAAAATTTTAGTTGCCTATAAGACATTACCATCTGTCTGTCCTACTGGCAACTTGAACTTAACATGTCTAAAACCAAATTTGTTATTATCTTTCCTCTTAAACCAGCTTCTCCTTCTGACTTCACCCTTTCTATTTGTGACACCACCATTTTGCCCAGTCTTCCATATTTAAAACATTGGTGATGCTTTGATTCTTTCTTTCTCCTCTCATAACCAATTAATTACCAATCCAATCAATTAATGGAATATCTCTTACAACTGCCCCCCTCCTCTTTTTCCATTGTCCCCATACTAATACAAGTCTTTACAACTACTCATATGGACTATTAAAAAACCTCCTATAAATCTTTCTTGCCACCATTTTCTCTAACTTCAAAATCATTTTACACAAAATGACAAACTAATATTGGTTATATAAACATCTGGCCACATTACTCCACTGTTCCATAATTTTTAGTGGTTCGCTATTCATGACTAAGTAAATTCCTTTACCTAGCATTTAAGGGCATCCATAATCTGGCATCACTCTATGATTCCAGCTGTATCTATGCTATTTATTGCCATATTCTCTTAACTTAAGCTAAGTTGGGCTATTTATAAATCCTGTACATGCCCCCTCACTTTCCTGCCTTTATTTTTTCTCTACCCCATTAAGTGATTCATCCCTAACACCCACCTCAAATGCCATATCTTCAAGGAAATAGTTCCCATCCCTCCAATCAATAATAACCATGCTTACCTTGGACCTCATATAGCTCTTTACCTCACTTCTACTTCTGCTTTGCCCTTCTTTTAAATGCCTAGAGCTCAGCACAGGACCTAAAACACAGTAAGAATTTAATAAATGCTTGTTAATTGATTGGTATTATGTATTATATAGTATTATTATATTAATTATGTACCTGCATATCACTACTAGACTGTAGATTTCATGAGAATAAGGACCAATGGGGGGACAGCTAGGTGGCATGGTAGATAGAGCTCTGGCCTTGGAGTCACGAGGACTTGAATTCAAATACGGCCTCAGACACTTGACACTTACTAGCTGTGTGACCCTGGGAAAGTCACTTAACCCCTATTGCCTCACCAAAAAGCAAAAACAAAAAAACAAAAATGTTGGAGCAGCTAGGTGGCACAGTAGATAGAGCTCCAGCCTTGGAGTCAGGAGGCTCTGAGTTCAAATCCAGCCTCATACATTTGACACTTACTAGTTGTGTAACCCTGGGCAAGTCACTTAACCCCATTGCCTCACCAAAAAAGAAAAAAAAAGAGCATACGGGAGAATAAGGACCATGTCTTATTTAACCAGTATCTAGCAGTACTCCATACCTCATGTACATTTAGCATATACTGAATTCCTTTTGAATTATTAAATCCTAGAGTATTTTAGATGTGGGAATCGTAGGAGAAAAAGACTGTGGAGACAGCTGAATATATCCTGACCCTGCAAGTTCGTTTTGAAAAAAAAAAAAGCACTGCAATATCTTATTTCTGATCTGTTTCTTTTTCTTAAACATGGATAGCAAGATGGGGAGGGAGGAGTAGATCTGGTTACCTAAGCATTTCATTTAATCAGAGTTTTAATTTCCTAGGAATGGAGATAAATATATTTGTCTCATATACAATGAGGTTGTTGAAGAATAAGTGCTATAACCAGGAGATTCTGGTAACTGTTCAAATAAATGTTTACTTTTTTTCTTAGATAAAGTATGTGAGCTTAGTGAGTGCGTGTGTGTGTGTATGTATGTGCATGTTTAAAGGTAACTTTGATGTTGATAGAGATTATGAAATGGCTCCTAGGGAGCCATACAATTTTAATCTGTCAGTTTATAGTCTTTGAATATAATCACAGCCTCATTTCCACAACAAAAGACTTTATTTTTTATTGGTTTTGAATGTTCAACTTGCCTTCATGTTCTGCATCATAAGTTTATTCCTTTGAAAGGCCTTTCCTAAGACTTACCGAAGACTGTCAGGTAAACTGATGGAACAAAGTTTATGACAATATCTCTAGGGGATCTTGAGGGTACCAGCATCATCAAGGATTTGGGGAAATGCAAAAGAACATCAAATCTGCTCAAACAGTAAATCCAACACATATATCAATGAATGGATTCATATTTTGTTGGGCATGCTATTTACTTCTATTATGAATTTTAGTTTCTAAGAAACATTATGAACACTGTGGCAATCTTTCCAGGAGCCAATATTTACGATATTCTCAATGCAAATTTCCTTTAAAGTGAAATTGAAATATTATCCAAAGTAAATCAGTCATCAGGCATTGGAGTAGCTGCGCCACTCACTATTTCATACTAGGAGCCCCCAAACACTCAGGTACGGGCAACAACATATGCCTTTTGTGGCTGACAAATCAAGGACAAACTGAAAGCCTTGATAACTACCAAAGTCACTTATTTCAAATATATATCAATCTCAGAAACTCTCCTTTACTAGCCTGAGATAGGAAGGGATCACCCAAGCCACAATAATAATTGACTTTTTTTTTTTGGTAATTTAAAGTTTCCAAGGTGCTTTACACATTTCATTCCCTCTCTCAAATCTTATAACAGCCTTGTATGGTAGGTACTATATATTTTCCTATTTCCAGATGAGCAAACTGAGACTCAAGGAGATTATATGTTCATACAGGTGGTAAGTATGACTAGTGGAATTTGAGCCCAAGATTGTTGACTTCAAGTCAAGCCTGACTCTAGCCAGGATTCTAATAGGCTTCTGGGGAAAGAGAGACAGAATGGAACCCCCCACTTTCTAACGGGTCTTCCAGATGCTAATACACAGATGGGCTCTGCTTCAAGTAGGGGAAATCCCCATCTCAAAATTTTCCAAACTGTGAAAATTAGTCTGTGAGGTCGAGCAGTATAGTGGAAGGAACACCATGCTTGGAATCCAAAGATGTGGTTTTGATTCAGTCACTTACTAGTTGTGAGACCATAGTAAGTCACACAAACTCTTTGAAACTTTGGTTTCCTCAATTGCATAAATTGAATGTCAACGTTCGGTATCTCCCCCCCATAGAGTTTAGGTGATGATTAAATGAGATAATGTATATCTGAAAGCTTCTATAAATAGTAACACATAAAGTTGTTGTTGTTTTTGTCCTTTGTTCTTGAAGAGGACCCTGACATCAGGAAGGTGATCCCATTACTTGAAAATGAATTGGGGGGCAGCTAGGTGGCACAGTGGATAGAGCACCAGCCCTGAAGTCAGGAGGACCTGAGTTCAAATCCGGCCTTAGACCAAACACTTGACACTTACTAGCTGTGTGACCCTGGTCAAGTCACTTAACCCCAATTGCCTAAAAAGAAGAAGAAGAAGAAGAATTGGATTCCTGACCAATGAACTTATCATGTGTTACTTCAGTAGTATTCTTATGCCTCATATGCCTCTATTAGATTATAAACTCTGAAGGCAGAGACAGTCTTACCTTATAGTGCAGGGCTCTGCACATTAAAGGCTTCAAGATATGTTTGTTGAATTAAATTGACAACTTGAGAAGAACATTGTCTCAACTATACTGTGAAAACAGCAATATTGTATTACAATGTCTGGGGCCTTTCAGAAGTATTTTTGTAATCCAATTAGAATTGATTCATTTTATCTTAATTTTGATTTCATTTTTCCTTCCGTTCTTAGTTCAAAATTAGATATAAACAAAATGCAAATAACTGGACTGGATTATGGCACTAAATTACATCTATTTACAGCCTAATTTATATCTTCATGAATTCTTTCTACTGGATCACAAATGATTTAGCCTTGACAGAATTGTGAAAAATATAGAATGTCTACCTGGTCCTGAAAACCCAGCCAAAATGCCAAGGGAGAGGGATAACTTAAAAGTCAATGCATCCTTTGTGAAATAGTTTGTCATATGAAACATTCCATCTCCTAAATGTCAATGGGAGTAGCACAATGAATTGAGTGCATGAAGTGGCTTTAAAGTTTAATTTGTTGAGGTTTTTTTTAAGGGGGTACAACATCTCATCTTCTACATAGCAGCCAAAGCAGATTTCCAAAGTTTTTCTTCTCTTGTTTACCAAAACAAATTTTGAAAGGTACTGAGTCCATGTTCATAGGATTTAGAAAGGTAAAAGGCAACTTAGGAGTTATCTAACTAGATGCCTTTCATTTTACAGATAAGAAACTGAGGCTCACAGCAGCTAATTGAAATCCTATCCTTAAAAGCCCTGAACATTAAAAAAAATGTATTTAGTTTCATTTTACTTCATTGTTGTTTGTATAAATTACTGGTAAATCTTCAGGTGCTCTGTGGAATTCTTTTGGATTTACTTAGAAGTAGGACTGATATTGCAGGTCCTAGATGTGAATTCCTAAGCAATTTTTTTTAAAAAAATCTCATTCTTCCTGTCAACTAGAAGAAATATACTATCTAATTGTTGTTAAGGGGAAGTAAGGTCCAAAAAAAAAAAAAGACAAAGAAAAGGAAAAAACCTTGCATGTAGCCTAGTGAGTTTTAGAGTTAATTATGTTTGGTTGAACAAAAGTAGCTTTTATCAGTAGATGGAGTAGATCTGTTAGGCATAGAGAGACTATTTCTTTTAACAAAAGGCAACTTCCATGTGACCTACGGGAAGTTTGATCAGAAATGCAATCAGAATTTCCCCAAGAAAGCATCATTATTCTCTTCCTTTTTATCTCCTTCCTATTAAATAGAGAAAAGAAGGACATTTCACTTTCTCCCCAGCTCCCACACGAATGTTGCTTTTATGGAAGTCCTCTGAAAAGGACACATTTACAAAGTAATAATAATCCCGAAAACTTCACAGAGTATAAGAAAAGGAACACTTGAAACAAAGCAATGCAAAACATAGGATGGAGTAAAAGCAAAATATTTCACGCTTATGGACCTAAAAAAGAAAACAAACAACTTTTATTTCAATTTATGGCTTGTTGTTTTAGGAGAAACATCAACATAATCACCTGTAAGAATCATCTTTGATCACATTAAAAAGTATTTTAACATCAAAAGCTGCATGTATCTATCCCTGTGGAATTTCATATTCTAAGAGGAGAGTGGCTGTCCTTCTACAATGCACCAGTGAACCTTGGGTACGTTAAGACAGGTGCAGGTACATAGCATCCAGGATAAGAAGGGTGGTAGCCTAGCTATCCTCTGCCCAAGTCAGATAGCATCTGGAACACAGTGTTCAGTTCTGGGTGCTACATTTTACTTAGCCGGGTTGATTTTTCACACATCTTAGTCCTTGGTCAGTATTCAACGATACACCATTTCTTCTTGGTTTGGTGCTCAGTCTTTCAAGATTGGGCTATTGATAAGTCGGAGAGCGTCCTGAGGAGGAAACCAGAAGGATGAAGGGTCTAGAGTTCACACCATAGGAAGATCAGCTAAAGGAATTGGTGACATTTAGTCTGGAAAAGAAGAGACGTAGAAGATTAATGGTTCTGTTCAAGTATTTCAAGGGCTGTCACATGAAAGAAGTATGAGAAGAAATGGGCAAAAGATGCCAAGAGGCAGATTTTGGTTGGATGTGAGTAAAAATTCCTGGAACAATTCTCTCCAAAAATAGCCTGAGGTGCCAAAGGAGTTCCCCTCCACTGGGGATCTTCAAACAAAGGCTGGATGATCATTTATAAGATATGTAGTAGAGAGAATTCTTTTTCAAGTATGGCTTGGTCATGTCTGGACCTTCTAGCTCTTATTCTATGACTCGGCATGGCGTCATGGATAGAACATGGGACTCAAAGTCAGAAATGAGTAGGTTCAAATTCTGCCATACATGCTTACTAGCTAATGGACCCTGAACAATTCACTTGACCTCTTAGTGCCATCTATAAAATGAAGATAATATCTATCTTCCTTATCTCCCCCTACGCATGTGGATCAAACAAGTAGATGTATCTGAGCTTTACAAATTGTAAAGTAGAAAGCAGAAATGCAGTACATTATTATTATTACTACTTCACAAAAATCCCTCCTCTAGTGCCCTATGGTAAGAAGGTGACCTATCTAGGCTAGCAAAGTACTGGCTCTGGCCAGTCTTGCCAAGCTGGGAGAGGGATGGGCCCAGGAATGGATTGTGCAATTGCCATAGGAGAATCATCCCTGCTAAGTTTAGAGGGCCTCATTTCCAAAAGTTTGGCCATCAGATAACGATTTTTTTTAAATCACAGTAATTCATGAAGATTATCTCCTAAGACAGTTGCAATCTGTGTCCAGGAAAGGAGTGTCCATATAAATGAAATCATGGATCTTTTGAAATATTAAACTAAATATTATCATTAGTTGCCCAAGGCTTAAAACAAATTGCTCAACCTAAAGAAAAGATTAAAATAATAAGTCCTGACTTTCTTGAAATGTCTATTTTATGTTGTTCAACAGAACTTGACTGAATGGGTCCATTTTGCATGAATTTGGCTGTAGGCATCAACCTGTGCTCTGTAGGAGAGTGTGTATATATATATATATATATATATATATATATATATATATATATACACACACACACACATATATATACACACATATATATATACATATATATATACACACATATATATATACATATATATGTATATATGTGTGTGTGTGTGTATATATATATATACACACATATATATATACATATATATACACACATATATATATATACATATATATACACACATATATACACACATATATATACATACATATATATATATATATGAGTTTGGAGAAAGAATTAGCAAATGTGAATAGGGACAGTGAAAATTTGGGTAGCTATAGAATTTTTTGCACATATAAGGCTGAACTGCTATGTTTTCAGATTAGTAATTCTGTCCAATTAATCAACAAACATTTATATTAAGTACTTATTAGGTGTTTAAACTAAGCACCAAGCTAAGTTCTTGATAGGACTCATCAGCAGCAGCAGCAGCATCCTCATCATTACTATTATTATTTAACTAAGCTGATAACTGAGATATAATCATACTATAAATAAAGGCAAACTGGGGAAATACCTAAATAAATATTGGAAAATAAATGTAACTAGGAGAAAAGCTTTTATAGTAAATGGTAGTTTTTATAAACATTTTATAAAAAATATATTACAGAAAAATTTTGTGAGAGCAAGAGAAAGAGAGACAGAGACAGAGAAACAGAAAGAGAGAGATTCCTAGGTCAACAAGCTAGAGAGTGACCATTCTTCTGATAACATATAGTACAAGGCAGTGGTATAGTCAAAGAAATCTGGGGTTTTGTCCTGATTCTGCTGCTAACTATCTGTGTGACCTCAGCCCAATCATTTGACCACTCTGACCCTCAGTTTTCTCATTGATAAAATCTAATCTCTACAAAATATTAGATTAGATGATCTCTAAATTCTTATCCAGTTTCGAACACCTATGACGCTTAGTCTCAGTCCCTGGTCAGATGAATCTCATGTCTCTACTAGAGAAGGAGACATGTATATGTTTCTAGAAATAGTGACACTACTTCTTTCTGTAGCTTTTTGACAACATTCTTGACAATAGCCCCAGTTGGGGTTGCTTCAGTTTTCTAAACAACAGACAGGAAAGTCAGGAGGCCAAAGCTCTGGGAATCACTGGCTTACCAACTCAAAGACAAGAAAAAAAATTTTTTTTTTTTTACTTACTGCTTTCCGGTACCTGGGAGCCCCCTCGTGTCCAAAAAGTACCATGCCCTGCCAACATTTTTCCTGGGGCCATGGACAGTTTATAGGCTTGTAAACTAAAAGGCATACCATCTATATTTTAGATCAAAGAGAACCATTTGTTCTCATAACTACCCTATAAATAGTATTTGACTAATCAATATCTCTATTAATTCAATTCAACAAACTTTTATTGAGAACTTACTCTCTGCAAGGCATAGGGCTAAACCCCAAAGGGAGTACAAGGAGCAGAAGACTCAAGCCTTTTTTCCAAGGAGCAGTAGGATTTCAGGCTAATAGAATTTATAGCTAGAGGGGACCTTGGAGATCCTCTAATTTACCTGCTCACTTTTACAAACTGGTGGGTAAGATACCCTATTCACAAATAAAAATGTATTGTACATATCATTAATCAAGTTAATGTTGTTGTTTTATTTGATGATAGCACTAAACTCTGTAACTCAATCTTCTGTTGGAAATTAAGCATAGTTACCGGCTTAACACTGAAAAAAAGATGAAAGGAAACATTTTTTGTGCTCTGGCCCAGATATACTAGTCTCATTGATACAGTTGCTAATCCCACTGATCTCTGTTGGTTAGTATTCCCCAAATGGAGCTAATGTTGAGGCATCAGGGGTACAGTGGCAAGAGTGTAGGATAGTCACCATTATATTATTATCATTATCATCATCATCATTCAGAATCAGAGAACCTGGGATTGACATACAGCTCTATTTCTAACCTATATGACCTTGACCAGCCCTTTCACCTTTCTGTTCCTTATATTCTACGAGGGGTAAAGAATTTGTTCTTGGGTAATCTTCCAAGGTCCCTTTCAGCTCTCAATCTAGGATATAGATCAGGAGTGTCCAACTCAAATAGAAATATACCCACTAAATTGTACATAAAAATCCCTGGTAGCTGCATATTGACTTAGAAAACCACATATTATTATCTCTGTTCTATTGTATTTTTATTTATTTTATTAAATATTTGTTAATTACATCTTACTCAGATTCCAGCCTCACTGCAGAATGTTGTGGCCTATATAGGCTGTGTGTACATGCAACCCTTGACGAAAATGTCCAATCATTGGTATCATTAGCATAGACTATGATAAAAGAATAGTGTGAAAGTTCACAAGAGAGGTGCCAAGTGTTATGGGAAGGTCATGATATTAATGGTATAAATGTTGCCCATACAGCATAATCAACACCAAAATTCTTTACATAGTTAGCACTAGCAAACATTAAAGGTCCCTTTATGCAATGCTGGAAAATGTGTATCATTGACAGAACCTAGCAACACTACCACAAGAAACATTTATTAGGTACCTGCTATGTGCCAGGCACTAAGATAAGCACTGGTGATAAAAAGATGAAAACAAAACAGTCCCTGCCCTCAAGGAGCTTCTATTCTCCTAGTGTTTCAAAAGGGGCCTGCTGTTTACCCCATTATACATGCAAAATAAATATAAGATAATCACTCAGTGGGAAAGAGAGCATTAACAATTGAGGGAATTGGAAAGTCAATTTGGTATCTTGAAGGGACCTAAGGATTCCAAGAGGCAGAGGTGGAGAAGAACATTTTGGGGACAGAGAACAGACAGTGAAAAGAATGATACTGAATGTCCTATGCAAAGAATATCAAGTTAGGCCAATTTACCTTGACTGCAGTATGTAAGAGGGAATAATCTGAAAAAAAAGTTAAGAAAGATATGTTGGAGCCTGAAAACACTTAAATGCCAAATACAGGCATTTGTATTTTATCCTAGAGATAATAGGGAGCCACTGAAGCCTCTTGTCCAGGGAGTGACATAATCACATATAGTTAGTAAATGTCTGAGGTCAGATGAAGAAAAATCTTCCTGACTCCAGGCCTGGCAATGTATGCACTGCTCTACCTAACTGCCCCATATTGTGACTTAAGAGCACCAGATTTTTAAATGGGATATCATATAAACGTTTGATTTTAAAAGACTCTTGATTTGAGTTGGGGAAATTTGGAGAGTTGTGACTTTTTAAGCAAAAGGCAAGCTCCTAAGAGTCATTTAAGTCATGAAAGGCAGAGGAACAGAAGTCAAAACCTCAGAACAGCAGGTGACTAAAAATCTGCTCTGCCAAGCTGTGGTAGCTAGAGGCAGTTGGATGATAGAAGGCTCCTGCTGAGAGGTCCTTGATTGCTCGGAGAGAGAATTGATTTCAGTGGCAGAGAGCTCCAGTGAGAACTATTACCTTTCTGTACCACAGCCAGAGAGAAGTGAAGTTTCTCATGAGGGCCTATTGCTCTCTGCTGCCACCTCTGACTCGAGAAGGTAAAGCAGAGGGGGCTTTGCCCCTGCTTTGATTTCCTGGTTACCTGAGCTGAGTTGCTGTGAGCTCTATTCTGATTGGACAACACCGTGTGTGTGTGTGTGTGTGTGTGTGTGTGTGTGTGTGTGTGTGTGTGTGTGTGTGTGTGTGTGTGTGTGTGTGTGTGTGTGTGTGTGTGTGTGTGTGTGTGTGTGTGTGTGTGTGTGTGTGTGTGTGTGTGTGTGGTGGGGGGGGTGAGTAACCTGATGAGCTGGTCTGCATAAGCCAAGGACAGCCAGTTTGATGAGCTCTACAATCCTCTGGCTTCATAATAAGACCTATCACTTTCTAAATGCTCTTCTAAGGACGATGGTTAAAACAAAGAGCTTGTAAATGATGTATTCTAAAAGAGAAGAGGATTTTTCCAGCTAAAGAGTGCTGAGGACCAAGAGTCAAGCAGTGA